TCTGGTATGTATAAAACCTTTTCAAGAGACAAATTTTCTTGCAATTTGACAGAACCAACATGTTCAATTGAGGTTTTTGTTCTATTTGGGAGACCTACATAACTAGCTATGGATAGTTTACTAGCAACAGAAGACTCAAAATTTTGAAAATTATTGGTCATATGGTCAGTAGCACCAAAATCTAGAATCCAGTCATCAGCACTATTGCAATTTGAGTATAAGAAAACGATTTTACCTGCCAGATTAGCAGATGGTGCTCCCATGTTCTCATTTCCCAATAGCTGAAGCAATTGTGCATACTGTTCTGGAGTCAAGACATTGCCTAGATTAGCTCCTCCTTTGTTATTGTCGGGTGCAGATTCAGTGTTCAACACTTACTCTTGACTTGAATGAACATGATTAGCTTTGACCTTCGACCCTGACTTTCCTTTATTAAACTGGAAATCTGCAGGATAGCCATGCAATTTGTAACAAGTATCCCTTTTATGCCTAACAATATGACAATAGTCACATTCTATGTAGGGTTTCTTTCCTTTGTATTTCGAATTTTGAGTTTGATTCCTTTGATTCCCTTGTGAGTACAGTGCTGTAGTAACTTCGGTATTATGATTGAATCTAGTCAATACCTTCTGACTCTCATCTTGACTCATTATCGAACAAGTCTATTTAATTGAAGGCAGAGGAACCATCAACAAAATCTGACTTCGCACCAAGGCAAATGATTCATTAAGTCTCATTAGGAACTGTAATAGCTTTTGTTGGTTGAGATGAGCCAAATAAGCCTTGGCTGACTCACTATCTGGTGGCGGCAGACTCACCAACGAACTCAGTTCATCCCACAGAGTTTTCAATTTTTTGTAATAAATTGCAATCGTCTTTGTTCCTTGTACCAAATTAGCTATCTCTCTGTGAATACCAAACACTCTCATACCATTGATTTTATTGTATTGTTCTTGAAGATCTTGCCAGACCTGATGCGCACTGGTAGAGTACACAATACTGTTGAATATCTCCTTCGACACAGTGTTAAAAATCCATACCAAAACTAAGGAGTTACAACGTTCCCACTGTGCAAGCAAAGACTCATTGAATTTTGACTTCTCACAAGATCCATCAACAAACCTCAATTTGTTCTTCGCCCTTAGAGAGACTATCATCACACGACTCCATATCCCATAATTCTCTATTCTAGTAAGTTGTTCTGAAATCAGAGTTGAACTTGGGGGTGTCCGACGGATGAATGTACAGAGGCGAACCTAAGTCAGTAACATTCGACATGTAGAATCGATTGACTTTAAGATATGTGTAGAAATCAACTTAATCAAGAACTGATTTAGCAGAAAACCAGTTTAATCAAGGACGAAATTGATGACGAAGATAGAAGAAATCAACTTAATCAAGAATTGATTTAGCAGAAAACCAGTTTACTCAAGGAAGAAATTGATGACGAAGATCAACCGGTCTTAAAAGATGATACACATACAGCTTCTATTTGAGCTTGATTCTTCGATTGAAGTTTGTCAATTCGCAGCTTAAAACACTGCTCTAATACCATGATCGAGTTCATTTCAGAGAGAGTAAAGTGAATTTCTTTATTATTCAGCTCAAAAACTAACTGTACAAGTGTTTATTACAGTTATATACAATCTGCAGTAACTATGGTTAAGTTAACCATAGTTAAATATTTCTAACTAACCATAACAGCAGTTAACTAACTATAAAACTAATTAACTACCTTGTTAACTAATTGCAACAATTAATCAATAATCCAAGAAATTTGACAAACCACAAAGTCCTTTATATGAGGTTTGCAACAAAGATTTCCATCCAAGTTACCATGTGCATTTGAGTCAACTTATGAAAAAAGTATGCTCATTTATAATCATTGAAAAGGTTTTAAATATAAAGAAAAAATAATTTGTATCGATTAAGATAGGTTTAAGGTTCAACATCAACTAAATATTCAATAGTATGATTTTTATTTTTGGTTGAAATTGATACCCCTAAACGCAGCCAGTCAGAATTATCGTTTATCACACAACAGTTGAATTGACATTTCACATTAGGGTTGACATTGCAATTGCACCTTACATCTTCTTTTGTTTGAAGAAGTATTTAACAAAACACGTGAACTTTAGTTGCAGTCAACCAAGGGATATTGGAATAATCTATATAACAGGAAAAAAAAAAAATTCCAAGTTTGGAAGGTATTTATATTACCTTCGTTGCCACCTAAGAAAGTTTCTTCCTGGCAATGGAGATTTTTTACTTTTTTTTTTTTTTTTTTTTGCAGATACATTCTAGAAGATGATCTATTCCAAAGCATTCTACATGTTTGTTTTTGTCCTTCCAAAAACTAGTAACAGGGAAAAATTCCACAGTAATATGATTCACATTAGCTGTCAATTTCGGAAAGTATAAAATTTGTTTTATGGACACTATTATTTTTTATTCATTACATGTACCAAATGCCTAGTAAGGAGCAGCTGATGTATAAAGTTTTTGTTGAGTTCTAGTGACATAAAGAAGATAAAAATTTCCAAAGCATTAGAGTTAATTTGAGCAAATATGCCATTAAGAGATGAAAAGTTTCCCCCTAAGTTCAGCACATATTAGTTTATATTATATTCAAAATCCCTCAAAGATCATAAACCCTTTAGTAAGAGTACAAATACTACTGTTGGTGTCATTTATTAATCAATGATAAGGGAATATATAAACAAACCTCATCAAGAAGTAATAAATACTATAGTTTCAAATCAGAAAAATTACCTTCCAGGAAATTTTTTCAACATTGATACAATTTTTTTATTTTATTTCAATGGGAACTAAACAATTATTGACTCCTCTTGGCCAATTATTCTGTTTTGATAGGGCGTAATTTCAGTAATAGTGGTTCAAACTTATCCTGGGAAAAAACTGTAAACTATTATGCATTTAACATTCCACTCTTCCTTCCTGTGTTAAATGCAACCGTGCAACCTCTTTGATGCTCTAAATGATTAAATGTGATTTTTCATTATGCGCACTGAGATTGAGCACCAGGTTCAGCTTAGACACACAAGACAAGCTATTGCTGTAAGCTTATGCAGTTAAATTTAGGGTTCATACATAGAAGTTTAGCTGAAAAAACTACTGTTGCAGATTTAGCGAAACAAATGCTCCAATTTATGCGTAGCAATAAGAGAACTAAAGATAATTGATGATATAATTAAGCCATGAAATATAGTAAATATGCATGCATCAAAATTGCTAGAGTTATTCTATGTATGGTTAACAGAACAACTCCAATTGCCACTTAAACACTATTTTAATAATTCATAGTCACTATAACATTTCCAAGCTTCCATGTTTTGGAACACTGTCAAAAAGTATACAACGCGATTTTTTCACTATTAATCTACTTAAGTACGACAAATTCTTGGACTTGGTTAAAGTTTCAATTTCAATTGCTTTTTGAAACTGAAAAGATACTTTAGGAATTTTTCAAATCATTCTCAAATCATATTAACTATGAGTGTGGTTAGGGTTTGAGATTGGTTGAGAAAGAATTGAAGAAGTCACAGCATCAACGCACAATTGACTGTTTCCCGCTTTTTAAATACATTAATTGGCCTTTACATAACGTCAAAGTAGCATTAAATCACAAGCAGCTTCTACCTTAGGGATTTCCAAGCCACAAGCAAAAAGAAATATTCTAGTTCATGCTTGGTCAGCAATGAATCAAAAGAAATGCCTCCCTTGCACCTTCTCAATGGTACAACACAATTAGGCAAGGGAGGTTACAGTTCCACAGTTCTAAAGCCTAAATCCTAATGAAGATGGTATAAAGCATTTCAGATAAATGAAACAAAACCCAAAAAAAAGAAAGGCTAGATGAACCATGGATTCCAAAAGTTAATTTAAAATGTTGACTCAGGCAAAAGAAATCAAGAAGTTATGCATCTGGCTCTGGAATTTTACTAGACTGAAATTCATTCCGAGTATATTATATCTATATTGGACTATGAAACAAGTCCTTGCTCATAACCCATAACCTCACTAATCAACCATAAATAAAGAAACATATTAATTATCTTTCTTCTTTGACATTCAAGGCACGAAATCTAATATGAATCATTCTAGGAAAAAGGGTTTGAATTTATTAGGAGTAAAATGGAGAAACCAGGTAAATCAAAATCAAAATCAAAAGATAGAGATGAAATGAAACTTAGACTTGATTAAGTTATTAAATATTAGTTGATAAAAACCTTTAGTGGCCTGATGATAAAAAGCAAAGGAAGATCTAGCATGATACTTAATTTTGAATCTCCTTGATGGTAAAGAGCAAGAAAAAATCTAATATAGTCTCCCGAGTTCGAGTCCTTACGATCCCTAATAAGGTGACCATTAGAGTTCTTGTGCACAAGTTGGCCCGACACCCCAGTCATAAAAAAGAATAAAAAAATATTAGTTGATAAAGTTATCTAATGTTTGTTGATAAGTCTAATGTTTTTCACTATGCAACTTTAATCCAAAACCTAGAAATATATGACCAGCTTCAATCATAAAGAAGCGGTGCCTTGTCAACAGCTACGACCAAATCACAACCCATTTGCAAATTGCGTAGCTTTGTCTTCACTCTCTTTAACCCCATAAATTAACTAATTCAATGCACCATATATTTTCTTTTTTTTTTTATCCACTAAATTTCAATACTCCTTTTAATATTCTATCCAAACGTCACTCTATGAACCATCTTCGAAACACAAGACTAAATACAATCAAACAAAACAGGAAATACATAATGCACGAATCCAAAAGTGTACCTTTACCATCAGCTGTCCGATGCTTTCTTTGACCTCATCTGCACTGATCCAATGGTTGACATGAAACAAGAAACATGAAAGTCAATAAACAAATGTGAAAACGAACCTTCCTCCTTCTCGCTTAAAAGCTCCGTTGGAAAAAGTCGCGATTGACATTACAATGTCCAATCTATATATTCGTTGTCATTCTCATTCTTTCCCGTATTCAAAATCTTCCACTTCCACTTCCACATTCAAACTCTTCAGAGTTTTCAAGATTTAAAGCTTTCCTAAACCGCTTGATTGCTTGCTCAGTTTCTATGGCCACGCCTAATGAAATATCAGCGCTTGAGTTCATCGAGCGACAACTTTTTGGTGAAAACTCTCCCATGGCGAGATATAATTCGAATTTTGATATGAGTCAGTGGATAAACGAAGTCAAATCTAAAGTTTCGACTTCTGTGTCCGATTCTTGTTTAAGTTCACAAGCTTCTAGCTCTAATTCCTCGAATAGTTGCTTCAACACGTCCCCTTTCTTTGAATTTGAAACCAAACCTCAAATCAGCGATCATGTTTCGCCAAAATTCTCTCAATTGGCTGGCGATTTCTTTGAATTTGACGTCAAGCCTCAATTTCAATCGAATATTTATAACTCCGAATTCGAATCCAAGCCAAACGTTTCTCGGAATTCAACCTCTCAAGCCACTCGAAAACCTTCTCTACAAATCTCACTCCCGAACAAAACCGAGTGGCTCCACTTTAGTAACCAAGAAACCCAACCCAAACAGGCGAGTTCAGACGTTGTGGAGGACGCAAAGCATTACAGAGGCGTTCGACGGAGGCCGTGGGGAAAGTACGCGGCGGAGATCCGGGATCCTAACCGGAGAGGATCACGTGTCTGGTTGGGGACTTTTGACACCGCCATTGAAGCCGCCAGAGCCTACGATAGAGCGGCCTTCAAGCTACGCGGCTCAAAAGCTATCCTTAACTTTCCATTGGAAGCCGGCAAGTGCGACTCGGGAGCCGAGGCTGGAAAGTGCGACACACGCGTCGAGGCCAGCGCGTGTGGGAGAAAGCGGAAAAGAAAGGGTGAAAATGAGGAAGAAGAGAAGAAACAAATGAAAGCAGTTAAAACGGAAAGTGTGGAGACGGTTAAGGATAGTCCGTGGACCCCGTCGAGCTTCAGAGCATTGTGGGATATGGAGTTGGAGGGTGATGTGAAGGGAATTTTTAACGTCCCTCTATTGTCGCCGTTATCGCCTCACCCGCCGTTGGGCTACCCGCAGTTAATGGTTCTGTGATGGGTTGTTTTGAGTTTGTAGTAGTGTTTGTCTGACGTGGAATTTTTGGAGGGAATGTATATAGATTGTCATCTTTTCGGGGAGGGCGGTGCTAGTTTTACAGTGACATATACAAAAATGGCATTCAAAGATAATTCTCATCCTTGATTTTTATGATTTCTCTCTCTTTTTTTTCGTTTTTTTAATTTATTTTTTTTATTAATATCACTTTATAACCCCTTTTGTATAAATGTTTGTAAGGATAGCATTTTTCTTCGAGAAATAATATCAATATTTGTTAAATACTTGTGTTTGTATAAGTTTACAAAAATTAATTTTATGACTTTTATCTAATTAAATTTTATTATATTCATCTTCAACAATAATATAACATTGATTTAAAGTGTCACATAGCATTATGGTAAGGGTAATACTATACAATCTTACAAATCCGATATAACATATGAGTTTACATTATCACGTCAACTAACGATTTTGATTAAACATGAATGATGTTTCTTTATAGACGAACGATCGTTCATTCATAAGAAGTAATTGTTCTCTTCATAAAGAACGGTTATTCCTTTACTATTTCATAAGAAGGAATGGTTGTTCCATTCATAAGGAACAACCATTCCTTCACAAAGAATGGTTGGTCCTTGTGAAGGAATGATCGTTTCTTATAAAGGAATAATCGTTTATCTCTAAAAAACGATTGTCCGTGTTTAGTTAAAATCATTTAATGTCTTGGGTGTGGTGAGAGCTGTCAACTTAACTACCATATCGAGTTTGTAAAAGAAAGTTTGTAAGATTTGTTTGTCAGCCTATCTTTATTCTTATGATAATTCTAAAAAGCAAACGACATGTTCCCATCCTAGGTTTAGCCAAATCATAGATTCATACACGTAGTTGCATTTATTCCATATTCCTACCCTTAAACTAATACTGGAAGTTAATTTTAGATTTTGAGTTATGCTATTGTCATCCTACCCTTCACTTTTTATTTCACACCACTCAACCATGATCACCATCTAGCCACCACCACCACCACCACAACCACCCACCAAACCCACTCGACCGTCGTTCAAGCCTGATCTGGCCTGATTTTGTGTCAATTGACCAATCCAACACCACTATCAGGATCCTCTCATCTCCCTTTCCAAAACCCCTCTCATCTCGTTTGCTCTAATTCTATATATACAAAGAGTGAATCATTTATTAACTAATAGGTTTAATTTAGAATTAGTGTTTACATTTGATAGCGTTGAGGATTAAGATTATGTTAATTGCCTTGGTGGTAACGAGAACAAACTTGCTTCAAGTTTGAATTAATCAACCATGTCTAATGTTTTCTACAGTGTTCAATTTAAAATATAATTCTATTTTATTAATTTGAAAGGTATGTTACCTATATTAAAACATAACTGGAAATAGATTAAACTGCATGTGTGTTACAGGCCTCAATCATCATCGATCTTCATTTTCTTCTGTAGCTTTGACTGAATGTAATGGAGTACAAAATACTTCACTCACTTTGCTCTCCAACTATTGTTAATTAATTCATGACTGCTACCTTTTATATATGTACATGTACTCATCATTTTGTAAGCTTCTGTATAAGACTAATAAATTAAGCTCTTGGGCTGTAATTTTTCTTCTTCGATTATAGTGATAGTCACTATTTTTATCCTGCTTATTCTTGTAGCTTTGACTGGATATCCAGCCTCAGGTTTGTGCATGACGAAACTAGTAGCAGTGTAGACGTAGATAGATCTTGGTAAATAGTTATTATTGGGTTTCATCTGAATACAATAAATAAATTAATTAGCAGTTGGCAGTTGATGATGAGCAGGTATGTAAAAGACTTATCTCAAATCTGAAAAGAAAATGAACAAACAGAAAAAGATAAGGTCATTGACATTGTTTAACTATTCTGAACAGAACAAGATATCAGCCTTGATTTCTGGAACAAAAAAGACTTAAAGATTATATATTAATATTTCCTAAACTTAATTAATGTATCTGGCCTGCAGATCAGTCAAAGTCACCAAAACTAATCAAATAGGTCTTCTCTCTGAATGACCAAGTAATCGATTTGTATAATTTTATAAAAAAAATTACGACTTTTTCTGCATGGTTGTGACGTGAAGCAAGAGATAGATGAACAGGACATGTGTTTCTCAGTTTGTCCCGTTGGTTGATATGTCGTATGCCATTTGACTTTGAATTTGATGAATTTAAAATCTGAATAACTTGTATTTATTTTTACCCTTCCTTGATGTGTCTTTGACAATTATTAAGGAAGGTAAAGTAAATTAACCAGGTGATTTTGTTAAAAGCGGATCAAGATTCTGTCTTTACAGCTTAAGTTTAATTTTTATATGAATTCTTAAATTAAATAAAGAAAAATAGTAAGATTTAAAACAAATTCAAAGAAAGATGGAATATTGTTAGTTCTATTTGAATTCAACCCTTCATAAAACCAGCCTGTCTTCCTCAGAGTGACTGATATGAAACATTTCTATTGATATACAAAGCCAAAGAAAATCCAGATGGGTGTTTTTGTTTTCTGAAAAGGAGACAAAGTCTTGCCAATATAATGTAAAAGACAGCTTCATATAGGTTTGGTTTTGACCCCTCAATACTCTTCTTTAAAGTTTAATCTAGTTGGTGTCTCTGGTTCTCTTCAATGAACCTGCTCTATAAATCCCTCAAGAAATTCTAAGAACTATCATTTGATCCTGATAATACGTATTAAACATAATTAAAGTTGTTGCTTTCATCTAATAATTGTGAGGACAATAATACCCTCGTGTATGATCTCTAGATATCAAATTATATGATTGTGTGTTTAGGAATTTTTGAATATTCAAAATAGAATTTTAAAATAATTTAAAAAGTCAAATGAATATATCTCACTCCATTTAGAATTTTCTTTGATGCATTAATGATATATTAAATGCTGTTTGAATAGCTATATGAATTCATATTAAAATCTCTAACCTCCTAACCAGGTTTGTCACAGTCTGATCACGATAGAATATATATTTTTTACTGGTCATGACGGTATTGGAATCTTTAGCCTCTTTGTATGGATAAATCAAAGGAATACATTTCAGTTTTTTACAATTTGAGTTGACTTTCAATTGAACATGTGGGGTCTCAGTCTAAACTATATGAACTTGGCTGATGTTAATCCTCAAATCTCCATCCATTTACTTGCTCAGCACACCACACCCCTTTTTTAATTTTTAAAATTTCTTCTTATGTTTCCTGATAACGACACCTTATCTCTGTAACTTTTCCTATGTAACCCTAATGCTTGTTTTCTTGTCTCCAAAACCATCAGATATTGGTTTGGTCTTGAAGGGTAAAAGTGTCATTATATTTTTTAATATTTCAGTCAAACTCTTGACTTTCACTTTTCTCTCATTGTACTGTAATTATCAACCGAATAAAGTTATTTTTACCTAGTTATCATCTTCAATTTTTAAATAACCAGATAAATGGAATTTCAATTTTTAAATATGAAACTTTTACATTTTAAGTGATCTATTTATAATAAAAAGTCTAATACTTTATATATTTAAAATTACGAAAAAAACAAAAAAGGTTTGATTAATTTAAGAAACAGAATTTTGAGATAAGGAGTAAATGTAGTCAAGTAGTCAAATTTGGATGTAATGGGTGGTCTGGAAAGTGGAAACAAGTATAGTCAAATTTAGATTTAGGTGTGTGAGAATGCATGTGCACAATTTGTTGAAGTTTGACTTTGACTTGACTCGTAGATGGGCTGCTGACCGAACACACAATCTTGCTGGGCCTTCATATCAAATTTCAAATGAACTCTGCCTAATGGCCCTTGAGCCTCACTTAATCTCTTTTTAAACCCCGATAATAATTAAAATTGTTTTTAAAATGTAATTACTATTATAAAATAAACTAAGAGGAGAGAAGGTGATTGAGGGGAAATAGAACCAATACTTTTCTATTATAAGATTGAGTGTTCATCATCTTTCATAAAATATCTATTTATAGTCTCAAAATTATAAAATATTATAAATGAAATAAAAACTAATAAAATGCTTTGAAATTGTGGAACTTGAAAAGTTCAAGAGTTAAAGAAGATGAAAGATTGGAAAGTTATAAAATTGTAAGAGACATCGACATTTATTCATAATAATTACAAATATATAATATATCATTCCCATATTATCCCTTTTTACTTTTATTTTCTAAATCTTTTTGTTAACCCTATCATCTATTTTTATTTATTTTTTTCCTCCAGAGTGAAAATATCTTTTTTTTCACAGGTTAAATCTAAATTCGTTCATAACTCCTTCTACAACTTCATACTTGAGACTTCCTCTTTAAAACCTACTCATAATATTAGTTTATTCCAAATATTTTTTTCCACTATAATGGTCGTCTCCTTTGTTAATAGAAGCTAATAGAATAAAAAATAAACAATTTTTTTTTTTTTTTTTAATAAAATTATTGGGACTTGTAAAGAGAATGGAGGTTCATCAAATATGTTGTGAAATAATGTTAAAATTTAGGGCTTACGTTTACGCATTTGAATGTATCATCAAGTTAGCGTGAGATTAATTGGTGATGTTTATATAGGCCAATGGCTAGTGGTACTCCCAATCTTAGTATTTAAAATACTGACGGATTAACAAGTTTTTGGTTTATCATCTACTTCATTCATCGGCGAGCAATTCTATGACAATATATAATATTATTCCATGGAAAAACCGAAGTATATAATTTAAATATTTATAAAAACTAGACATGAGACCCGCATGTTGCACGGGTATGTTTATTCAATATTTTTTAAATAGATTGTAAGCAAATTTATTCTAACAAAATAAACTAATTAGATTAACACATAATAAGTGATAAATTATACAAATTTTAAAGTAAATATAAATTGTATATATATACAAAGTTGTGTTAAGATAAAATTAATAATTGTACATGTATAATTATTAATATCAATTATAAGTAGATTTTATTAAATCATTCATCCAACTTGAGAAGATCACCTGAATATTATATGGTCTAATTATATTTTCAGGATCATCAGCTTGTACAATTGATATTATTTTTGTAGACATGTCTTTGATATTCGATATCAGTATTTTGTAGTGAATCGTCTATGATATTTAATATCACCTG